ATAAACACACACACACACACAGTATATATATAAGCGCTAATAATAAACACAACTCATAACTAATACACAGTTAAATATTGCCAACGTTTTCATAACTTTGTTATAGTGTAATTACAATTTTATATTTATATATTTATATAAAATTTTTTTCTTATTTTTAATCATTCCGTTTATTGTAATGGTATGATAAACCTGAAACATTCTATATATTTCATAACTTATATTTATATTGTATATGTATCTTAAAAGTATATAATATACAAGATATACCATCTAATGGTCGTCACAATTTTTCAGACGAACATTTTTTTTCATTGTTATAGAAAAAAATGTTCAGAATAAAAATTGGTCAATTTTTAGTCGGCTACAAACTAGGAAATTTCGAAAGTCAAGCTATGATCATGCTAAGATCATCACAACATGAAGCCAAGAATATATAGTGCTATTTTTAAAAAGTTCAATGTCACTTTTTTTTGAAAAAATAATTTTTTGAGGATCATTTACATAGCAATGTGTAAACCGACTGAAAACAGACTAACTTTTATTCTGAACATTTTTCTCTAGAATGAGTGAAAGTGTGGAGATCGTACATCCCATGTAAATCTTCCATCTTCTTCTGATTTTCAATGAAAAGCTGTTAATTAATACTACTGTTGATCCTTATCTTTTTTCTTCTAATTTTTTCTAATTTTCAACAAATAAACATATATACATAGTTGTTATCATCCAAACTTTTTGGATATAATAATAATTCAGTTAAGTTTTTGTCGATTACTAAATTAAGTCATTTCAAATAACTGTTGCAATTCTAAAAAACGATTGTAATTGTAAAAAAACGATTTTCAACAAATACAACCAGAATAGAATCTAATTTAATTTCTGATCGACGTTATTTTTTGCATTTCTATTGAACATTAAAAGCTAAAGTTACATTATGTCTTGTTAAAAAAAAAAATTAAAAAGTACGTAATTGTTTTGTCAAAATGTCTACTGAAATTTGATGATATATGAAGGTATATATTTAGAATTGCAGAAATTTTATAATTTTTTTCCTAATAGTAAGAAACATTTAATAAACATAAATTTATGTTTATATACGTACACGTATGTTTATACATAAACTAAATATCAGGATATATAAGTAGGATATATAATCAGGAACAAACGTGTATATTGGAATTATTCAAATGGAATGAAAGAGTTAATAGACTAGACATAATTTAAATATTGAATACTAAATTAACCGAGCAAGAAACGTGTTTAATATATTTAGAGCACTTATAGAACAATAAATTGAATAGTATAAAGTGTGTATATTTTACATATTTATCCAATAATTTTGTAGTAAGATTAAGCACGATTATTTGAATTATTATTGAGTTAAAGTACAGGAATCGGTGTAGTAAACTTGTTTGACAAGTATTTCCATAGGAGTTATATATTATTAGTCATTCTTTGTGATTAATAGTAATGATTTAATACTCGCTTCTATTGGAATATTACATTCCACGCCTTGTTTAAAATTAATCGCGACAGCAGACTGAAAACGGAGATTATCCATTGGGTGGGAAAGTTGGATGAAAATTATTATTAGAAATAGCGTAAAGTGTATTGGTAAATTATTAAGCAATTTATCAAAATGTGACAAAGTAATTAACGAATTATCATTATGAGTGACAAAGATTGTATCGAGAAGTAATTATATAATTCAGTTTCATGCAACAGATATGCGTTTTTAATCTGCCAAGCTTTATTAAGTACTTAATTCAGTCACTCTAGATAAAGGATTGCGTGCACGTAGCCGTTTAATCGGTACATCCGATTACAGATGCCATTACATATGCATTTTAGATATCAGTGAACTAGTTGATTACAGGCACATTTATCAATTTTCAGTCTTACGACGTGGTTCACGTCTAATATCAATATATTTTCACTGCTAAATAAAATCGGGGATATCATTTTCCCGCCAATTTGTTCCGTATGTAATATTTCTTGAACATGAAGTGAACAAGATATTTGTATTGCATACACGCATATGCTAAAATTATGTTGTCTTTGAGTTGACAATTTGGTTTCACATGAAAGGTGTCAATTACACTATGCCTGCTCATGCATTTGGCTATTGCGACCAAATGGAATCGACAAGCTCCGAGAGAAACGTTAGAGAAAGCATTTGTCCTACAAAGACCAATACGGCAATCAGTCGGAACTTTTCTTCATCTATAAAGAAATCAATGAATGATTAATGTGGAGAATAATGATCTCCCGCAATAGCGATGATCATTACGTATCATTCACAATAGTCTTGTCTGTCACTAGGTAGATCACTGGGGAGAGAGGTGAGAAGTGCCGATAGTAATTTAGCAAATGGCCAAGCCAGTGGCGCTGTCCCGGTGCAAGCGTGCCGTTTTAACTTGTCCAGTTGCATACTTTATGAGTTCCCCTGTATGGTCATGAACATGGGACACCATACACCGCTATACTTTGCTTTGACAGCAGCGAAATGTTTATTTAATACATGGAAATCCCCGATTCCTCGATTCATTGGTAATACACGACCGTCTCAGTCTCTTTGGCGCGACCCACAAATCCTTTCATTTTTTCCATGCTCGTACATTCTCGACCGTGTGATCATTTTTCCTCTCGGAACAGAACATTAGAAACAACGAAGTATATTTACTCTTGATGTCCGTGCGCAATTGCTTATCATTGTACATGCTTAGCTTAGTACATAAAACGAACTAATTGAAAGAATTTTCAAGTTTTGTGCGTTTTACAAATCTTTTGGCTTAAAATTATCTTTTTATACTTTATCTTTATATACTTTTGTGACAAATCAAGATTAATCTTGCATCGATTGATTGGACTCCAACATATCACGGTTTAACGGTACAAGAATCGTAAACCAAGTATGCGATAGTATTGTTATGCTTTATATCAGTCAAGTAAGGACGATAAAACATGATCTAAATACTCTTTCTGGAAATAAAAATACAATGGGCATTCCAGAAGTTGACAAAAATATGTGCTTTGCTAAAATACTTTCAAACACATTATATCTATGAGCATTCAATATGTGAATATTCATCGGCAGTTCACAAGGTCAAATTTATCATACAACATTCGTTTAATTATCGTTTAACATCTTAACGTTCTGACGTGACATGATCAGGGTTAATAAATGTTAATCACGGCGTGGCAAGAATATTAATTAATCGGTATAACGGTGCACAGGTCGTTCGGCATAATGTTGCAATAATTTACCGATGCCGTGTCCAAACCGATATCACAAATGCTCGAGCACAAGATCAGAATAAAGTGGATCACCTTCGTCCGGCTGACCTAACTTGTGGAGTCAAATTATGCTGTTGTCGGATTGGTATTGAGTCCTCGGCTGTAGAACTCTTTGATCTTCCGAAGCTCATCCAACCATGTCGAAAGGAAATACGCGGGAAAATGTAGGTATTAACTTGAAACACGAATCGTTTATATAATTACAGAACAATGCGAGCATCCCGTCAACTGTACGCATACACGTACACACGCAAATACACGCACATACTAATAACTTAATCTATCGTCTGCCTTACACATCGCATCATCCTCCTTTCGTATACATCGGATAACTCTGGCTTTAAGTGGAATGAAAAAACTTAGGCAAAAGAAGGTCGATCGCAATTGATTGTGAAATTGGATTGCGAATAAAAGACATTGTAGTACTGTACGCAGTAGGTATATAGAAGGGACGTCACGTAAGAAAGTTATGAATGCGGCTTGTATTGAGCATCGTTTATAAGAGAAGGTAATGGATCCATTCAAATTCAATTCTGTTTGTGAGTGTTCTTACTCAGCCGACGTGTAGGCACACGTCATTTCGATACATCAAATAGAGCCGCTTATCAATCTCTTTTCATTTTTAAACAGTGCAAAGGTAACTTACTATTTAGCCTTATGTTACGCAGAAGTCTCCTTTGAATATTTTAATAATCAAGTTTTCTCCATCGAAGAAAAACTCTTCATAACTGACGTTCCTCATAGTTGTAGAATATTTATAGCTGGACAAGATTGCTCGCACAGGTGAACAGATCGAAAATAGTTTCGTAATGATATCGAGATGATCCTCGTTTTAAGGCGTGAAATACATATAAAAATGTTACACGTAGACAACTATCTGATTAGAGTAAGAATGTATTATTTCCATAATTGAAATGATTCTTATATAGGAATGCGTTGCCGAGACATGAGAAAATACGTAATAAACTTTGCCAAAATGATTTTCGGTTTTGTTTCGCACTTTACTCGAAAATTGACTGGAAATTTAGGTACAGTTACAATTGTAGGCGAGGCTAACATGTTAAACACGCAAGTGGGTTAATGAAGTTCATACAAGAGAAGAGAGACCGAAATACATTTACATACGTATATTTACATTTTACAATCTGACAGATATTTCTGATATTTAATGCTGATGAACGATCCATCCTGGACTTCAGACAGTCAGTATCGATGGAGAAATTCGGCTGCAACTGCACTTGGAAAGTGAGCGGCCCCACTATAGATATATTTGGCATCTGTTTCTTTGAGCCATTGCCATACTTTCGTGCGTAACAAGTAGCGTACTTTTCAGTTCCCCTTCAAACATTATACATAGATTCCCGAAACTAGAGCAGCTAGAGCGTTTTCCTAGAATCTAGAAAAGTATACATCGAAAACAAAGAAAATTGCCTGATTGTTTCACAATAAATAAACAAAATATAAGTGCGCATTATTTGAAAATCACTACGCTTTGAGTATATCTTTGTATCGCGTGTTGCCCGCAAAATTTTGCTTAATTAATCACTATAGACGCAAAACACAATAGAGAGCGCGAGTTTTAAAATGTTCTTCTTCGTACGCGAGTGCAATTCTTGTCCGTCTTGCACGTGAAATTAGTGGTTAGAATGTAAGTAGGAAAGGAGATTAATGTTGCTGTCGGTAACAAGAAAATTCCCCATAATCGTTCGATTGGAAAGTGCACCCGCTGAAATGTAAATGAACAACTGCGGCGTAAGAATGGCATTTTCATCAGGGGACGGCAAGAATATTTTACACATTTAATCATCTAACTTTTCCAATCAGGTTCTATCTTAAATTTTCTATCATTTTCCTTAATTCATTCTAAGCAGAGAAAGGACTTGTTACATCTACATAATTACTCTCGTTATCCCAGATTAGAGATCTTGGTCAAAATGATACTCCAGCATACTCATAATCGATGGCGAATCAGGATAGAAGGGCACATCCCTTCGAGATCAGGAAAGGCAAGATCAGAAAGACAGAAGACCATTTCCTGGAGACGAAGAAGAAGAAGAAGAAGAAGAAATCTGGTAGTGGAGGAGGAAGAGCTGGCCTAGAAACGGTGGTTCTCCGATCTCCGATCTGTTGGTGGGTTTTCAGG